ATGGTGGTGTCACTTTAGCCCTTGTCAAAGGAGGCGACCACGGTACCAGAGTAAATTAATGATGTAGTCCACCGGTTGAATTATGTATAAAATAACCCTTCCTTTTTTTTTAAACGACACTTTATTTATTCCTGCCCGCCTTGTAATTTATTTTACAGATTTATGAAAAAAACTGCGCCAACGAAGAAATATTCGAGTGAATTGAATGGAAAAATAACACGACTTGAAATATCGTAGAAAAAGAATATTACATAACTTAATTTTATTTCCGATCAATTTCCAAAATTGCGAGATACGGATATCTGGCCTCGGTCTGCGGTATGAATACGCCTGAAGTTGTGTCGTAACAAAATCTAGTAGATGGTTAAAATCTGTGACTCACATTACCGCAAAAAAATGTTCTGGCTTGTCTGACATAATATCTTATGACGAAAACTTGACCCATGCTTAGAGGTTAGAAATTAAGCTTAGGATTACGAGATACCCTGGAGGCATTGGCATTCGTAAATATTTCCACCCAATTTTAATCGTTCTATTCACTTTCTCACTATATTACATTCTAGTATTTGTTAGGAATTAATAAATAAATGAAACTTTATTTGTAACGCTTTTTTTAAATACTAGGGGCGTCCGCCGCTCCTTTTGTATTGGCCACTCATCCCCTCATGAAAAAGCTAGCAGGCGGTGAGGCGGCCCGGGTGTTGCCGAGCGGTGCCCCCGCTAGTTTTATATTATCATATTTGTTCAAATAAGTCAAAAAGAGCAACTCCTTGTAAATAAGTTCAAAAACTTCCGTGCCTCTTGGTTTTTGGCAGGTTCGCTAGAAAAAATAATTTGTTCTCTACTCCAACGCTTCGTCGAAATTTTCTATACATTTTTCTATTAGTTTTCATTCTCTTCTAATACTCATATTTGTCATACCGCTGGATAAGGCAACATATAATTGTCCATGGGTAAATATTGTGTTTTTTGAATTTATAATCAAATGTATTTTCTCAAATTTTATCCTTGTGTCTTTTTTTTTCCTGCAAAGGAATATCATCCCTCGGGGTGCCGATGTGTTTGAAAAAAAGACCATTTATAAGTATGTCGGGTTCCAATGCAGGGCCGCCGGATTCGAACCTTTACCTTAAAGTGTTGAGCGCCATGTCAACGCCTAAATCGTTGCGGCCACCGAAGACCCATAAATTGTGACTGATTAATGGTCATAGTAAATGCTAGACGGACTGGGAATTGCAACCGTTTGAAAACAAAGAATATTCGGTATCTCCTCGTGTGTCTATATTCGAGGGTTGTGCACAATGTTTTATTTTTTATTCCCCGTTAATATTTCGCAGTGTAGTATCATCCCATCATTTTTCCTACTATCAAACGGGTCCTGTTACAAACCTATGTATAAATTATTGAATAGGATAATTATACATCGTGCTTTTAAACGCAGTACTGGAAGAGGCTAACCCGAAGGTGTCATCGATTGTAAATATTCAGTGGCATACTGTATATATTTTATGTAACTTTTAATTTAAACTTAAATTTATTTTTATGTGGTGTTTTTTTATAAGAACATTTATAACAGGGAACACACTTAAGCCAGGAACACACTTACCCGATGCTACGCTATGCGACGCTACCCGACGCCTTGAAACGTTTTGGTGGGGTGTGCACATCTATCAGACGCAAGCACACGTCGCGTACAGTCCACAGCGTTTATCACAATAATCACTATCACAATCGCAACGCATCTTTTGTTCTTAATGCACTATTTTGAGCAAAACCTTGTAATAAATTGTTAGTTAAATTTTATGAGCACAACCATCTAATAAATTGTTTGTTAAACTTAATTGTTTTAAATAAAGTTACTCCTAACCATCTTAATTAAACAATGTTTATAAAAACTTATGCATTTTTGATCTCGTTTAATTTGGTTTACATTAAAATAATATGTTGTAATTAATATAACGACAAAATTACATGTACTTAGTTTGAAATAAACTACAAAAAATATGAGTGTCCTGTTCTGATGCTACCAAACATTAAAAAATGGTGTAATTTTACGAGCAAAACTATGAAATAAATTGTTAATTAAATTTTATGAGTAAAACCGTGTAATAAATTGTTAAAATTTTGGTATATGTACCGCCGAAGCGAGTACAATAAATTGTTAGTTAAATTCATTGTATCAAAAAATCTTATTCCGGTGTTTTGATTAATTTTCTACCAAACCATTAAAATTAATTTTTTAAATAAAAACTAATTAATTTTTAATCATAGTTAATTTGGTTTATATTAAGATAAGTATGTTGTAATTAATATAACGACTATAATACATGTATTGAATAAAAATTTGAGTGTCCGGTTCTTTTGTCTTCGACTGTACTCGATGCGACCCGTCGAAAATCTGGACAGTGGGGATCGCAGAGCGTCGGGTAGGTTAGCGTGGCATAGCATCAGGTAGATGTGCACGGGAGTAATGGAAAATCGGAGTTTAGATTTGCGTCGGGTAGCATCGGATAGCGTCGCATGGCGTAGCATCGGGTAAGTGTGTTTCTGGCGTTACCCGATGCAACGCTACCCGATGCTACCCGACGCAAATCCAAAGTCCATTTTCCATAAGATTGTGTTACCCCCGTGCACATCTGCCCGATGCTACGCAACGCTACCCTACTCTACGCTACGTGATCCCGACTGTACAGATTTTCGTCGGTAGCATCGAGTACAGTCGAAGACAAAAGAACCGGACACTCATATTTTTATTCAAACTACATGTATTATTGCGGTTATATTAATTACGACGTACTTATTTTAATATAAACCAAATTAACCTACATCAAAAATTCATTAGTTTTTATTTAGAAAAAAGTAATTTTAATAGTTTGGTAGAAAATTGATCAAAACCCGGAATACCATTTTTGATATAATGAATTTAACTAACTATTTATTACACGGTTTTGCTCATAAAATTTAACTAACAATTTATTTCATGCTTTTGCTCATAAAATTACACCATTTTTGTCTAGTAGCGTTAGAACAGGACACTCATATTTTGTGTAGTTTATTTCAAACTTTGTATATGTCATTTTGTCGTTATATTAATTACAACATTCTTATTTTAATGGAAACCAGATTAAACGAGATCAAAAATTCATGAGTTTTCGTAAAAGTTATTTAATTACGATGGTTAGGAAGAAAATTTATCAAGACACTGGAATAAATTTATTTAAAACAATGAAGTTTAACATACAATTTATTACATGGTAGTGTTCATAAAATATAACTAACAATTTATTACAAGGTTTTCCTCAAAATAATGCATTAAGAACAAAAGACGCGTTGCGATTGTGATACTTATTTCTGATACACGCTGTGTGACTGTACGTGGCGTGCGCTTGACGTCGCATGTAATGTACACACCCTATCAAAACGTGACAAGGCGTCGGGTAGCATCGCATAGCGTTGCATCTGGTAAGTGTATTCCCGGCTATACCACTGGTAGGTGATGCCACAATTGTTTTTATCAGGCACCATGACCATTCACCCAAACCCTCTTCTACATGATATCCCCTTTATGTGTTGTCCTTTCCCGGGAGTAGGAAGGATAGACTAACATAGGAATTGTTTTATTTTTTTAAATTTATTTATATTATTAGCAATTTCTTGGCATGGTTGATTCTGCTGCGAGGACATACATATGCCTCCGAACTCTACAGTATCCAGTCAGCAGCCCTACTATCATCCTTGTCCTAACACGTCATAAATGTCCTGTTAAGTTTCTACGGTGATATTTTTATAAAAATATTCTCTTGTCTATCCTCGATTACATTACTATTTGAACCCACTGTTCGTTATATCTTTAGTATTCCGAAAAAGGGTTCAGAGCCGTTGAGTTTCCTGATCGAATTTTCATTAGCTAATTTATCTGCCCTGTATGGTAATTAAACACGGGAGATGTTTTTTCAATGCCTGACAGGGCTTTAATACGTCATGCATTGATCCATGTTGATAGTCAGGTGACCATTAAAAGAAAGATTTTTCAGTTTTTAAAGAATAATACGGATGGTCTCGTTGAACTGCAATGGAGTTTAATCTTCGATTTTCCTTATTTCTATTTACATGTAGATTTTTGACTGTTATCATGTTTGCTTACCTTATATACACTGTTTTAACCTAATGTATTATTATTACTTTGCCAGATTCGTGAGGAGCTGTCAAGGATATGGTAGTTTAGAAAAACACCGTTTTTATATTTTAGCCGAAGTTTCGACCTTTATTCAAGTCATCTTCAGAGCATAAAGTGTGGTGCTATTCTTGTGGTGTCATATTGGTTTTGTATAGAAATTATTGTAAAAGCCAATATGACACCACAACACTTCCACACAAAACCTGTATGACACTACAAGAATAGCACCACAATTTATGCCCTGACGATGACCTGAATAAAGGTCCAAACGTCCACAAAAATAGTAGTGTTTTTCTAAACTACCTTATTCTTGACCGCTCATCATAAATTCAATTAACTATGAAACAACCGGTCACTAAGAAACACACACCATTATTACTGTGTGGTGTTTAGTAACCGTTAGATAATGATTATTGGAAGATCATGAGATGCTGTCTGGTGTGACGTCGGTTTTAGAAAAATATTTTCTTTATCGTGCCAAGGTTTAGATCTTTTGAGATCATCTTCAGTGCTCAAAGTGTTCGTTTTCTGCGTAGATGTGTCATTCTTATGGGTCGTGTTGAGAGTGCCACAACGCTGAAGATGATCTAAATAAAAATCGAAACGTTGGCACGATAAAGAAAATGTTTTTCTAAAATCTACGTCACACTAGACCACATCTCATGATCTTCAAATAATTATTATTACTATTATCATATTACGATTGTTTTATTTTATGGCTGCTTCCCTGTTTGAACTATGTAATAAATAAATAAATAAATATAGTGTGCTATTTTATAAATTTTTCTGCTGAACGTTAATTTTTGTTTGTACTGATTTTCAGATGCGTTCATCATCATCCCAGAAGACTTCACTACACTTAGCAACGCAATTTGGTCTTTCCTACCACCTATCAAAAGTGGTAAATAAAAAAACATAGTTTTCGTTTTCCTGCAATATTGAGATGTTGTCTAAAATATTCTGTTCCAGGTTTGCTGTCCAAAGTCGGCCTCGGTTTCAGGCTGGGGAGAAATGCGGATTTTCAAGTCTTGTTCGAAATCGGACCCCAGATGAACAACACGAACACGAATCGAACAGACGCAACTGTTTCGCCCAACGCAATCGCGCCTCAGGCAAGGAGCAAAAGGACGAAATATTCCAAGAGGTTTAAGAAATTGCCTAGCAAATAAGAAAACGATTTAAAGCTGAATTAGACTTTAAATTAAATAAATGTCTGTCTTTCTACTAAACAGCACGTTGTTACCGTCAGATGTTTCTCTCAAGTACTTATTTATAAAGGATTTGAATTATAAACATGAGCATAAACGAGAAAAGAAAAACTACAATGTATGTCATTTTAATTTTATTGTATTTAATGGATAGTATTAATTTAATTTAAGTTTCTAAATTGTAATTACTTTCGGAGCGTTCCCAGCATAATACCATATTTGAACTATTGATTAACGCTCGACCTGTATTATCTAAATATTATTTATAATGATAATAGAATAATAATATTATCTAAAAAAATTGTAAAACTACCTGGGAATACTTATTTCAATGAAACCTAATTCCGTAAGACTAGAGGAGCCAATGAAGGTATATATTAAACCTGTCAAGTCACAAAGTCACAAAAACCAAAAGGCCCTTCCAGTAAAGTTGGCAGCATAAAATCTGATTCGTTTTTATCACTCCTCACATTTTTATGGCTAGAGAGGAGAGTTGCTGGAACGGAGAGAGAGGCTAGAGTGGAGAGTTGCTGGAACGGAGAGAAGAGTGGAGAGTTGCTGGAGCGGAGAGATGCTAGAGGGGAGAGTTGCTCTAACGGAGAGAGAGGCTAGAGTGGAGAGTTGCTGGAACGGAGAGATGCTAGAGCGGAGAGTTGCTGGAACGGAGAGAGAGACTAGAGTAGAGAGTTGCTGGAACGGAGAGATGCCAGAGCGGAGAGTTGCTGGAACGGAGAGAGATGCTAGAGCGGAGAGTAGCTGGAGCGGAGAGATGCTAGAGGGGAGAGTTGCTGGAACGGAGAGATGCTAGAGCGGAGAGTTGCTGGAACGGAGAGTGAGACTAGAGTGGATAGTTGCTAGAGCGGAGAGATGCTAGAGGGGAGAGTTGCTGGAACGGAGAGGGAGAGACTAGAGTGGATAGTTGCTGGAGCGGAGAGATGCTGGAGCAGAGAGTTGCTGGAACGGAGAGATGCTAGAGGGGAGAGTTGCTGCTTAGCGTGAAGCGCAGTGATGTCGTGATAGCGTTGCGACTTGCCTGACTGTATATGAACGAACAATGCGGTGAAGTCATTGTCAAATCACTGACTGGTAACAAAGACAAAATTCAAAATTAATCGGCGTCGCTGATGAGTTGGTATCGGAGTGTGAGCTACCGCTCTTGTTTTCAGAGAGGTTCATCGCTCGCTCAGTGAAGTGAGTTAACTCTATTGATCAGCTCGCGAGCCCAATCACTCGTACGGTGGGTCGAAAATCTGTAGTGGAACTTCAGAAAGCTGTAACGGAAGGGAATGTTGAGGTCACCTTACTATAATGATCATATGAATGAAGGGGGGTTTTGGTATCTCCCAAGCACTGCAGATAGGAAGAGAGATAGATAAAGAACAGATAGATAAATAGATAGAGAGATAGGTAGATGGATAGATGGATAGATAGATAGATAGATAGATAGATAGATAGATAGATAGATGGATATATAGAGATAGATAGATGGATAGATGGATGGATAGATAGATAGATAGATAGATGGATAGATAGAGATAGATAGATAGATAGATATATAGATAGATATATAGATAGATAGAAAGGGAGAGAGAGAGAGAGAGAGAGAGAGAGAGAGAGAGAGAGAGAGAGAGAGAGAGAGAGAGAGAGAGAGAGAGAGAGCGAGAGAGTGAGAGAGAGAGAGAGAGAGAGAGAGAACAGAGAAAGAAAAGCAAAATTTCGATAGAGTAAAGAGAAATATACTCTAAAGTAACCTTAATTTTACATGAATAAAACAGTTTATGATTTTAACACAATTATATAATTATTTCTGGATAATAAAATGGAATTGGCATTTTATTGTCTTTATTGGTTGTCGTTATGAACTAACCGTAAGTTCAAAGTTACATAGTTATATCGTTTTGTGTGAAATATATTTTTTCATATTTATTTTATAACGATTATTTCAAATCATAAAATTGTAAAACAATATTAAAATTTTAAATAAAACGGTAAAGACTAGCAAAAATTTTTTTACAATTTTTCAGACAGATTTTAACGGATGGTGCAGGCTGAGAACCAGGTCAGTAACAGTATTGACAGTAAGGTGTCTTCTCGCACAGGATCCCAGCATTGGAGACACGTTTCCTAGACGGTCGCCAAGGAACGTATCAAAATATTGGTACATTCGTAGAGTAAACCGTTTCCCCCTCATCACAACCTTGCCCTATTAATCCCAGCCTTTCCCAAGTGACTTGGGTTTCATGTGGAGCTTGAAGCATTTTGACGTGTTGGCCTTAAGATCCGGAGACTTTTCCCTCAAGGTTCACAGGTCGAATGGGAAAGAAGCCGTGGGCTTAATTCAACAAATGTTGCAATCAAATCTAACTTCTGTATAACATGGTTGTTATTTTTCATATAAATTTCAGTCCAAGAATTTATTAATTAATTGTTAAGTTAAAATAATAAAAGACTACAGGGGGAATTCCCGGCCTTAACTGGTCCCTTACCTTCACACACCTATGTGTCCGGAGGCTCAGACAACCTCCGCTCTAGTTAATCAAATCTTACCCATATTGCCTCAGGGCAACACCAAATATAGCACATATGCTAAAGTTCAGCTAATGCTATGCATTTAGAGCGGGTACAGTGTGTTTACTTCATTATTTCATCAATGTATTGGCAACAGTGATTTTTTGGCGGCAATTAGAATCTCCATCTTGGAATCTTCTATCTCCATCCACCATTGCATCTTGTATCGATTGGCATGTTTGTCAAACATAAAACTTTTCATATCCGGTTTAAAATTTAACCCTCTCTTCCCAAAGTTTCTTCAGAGCAATGCCAACTTTAACAATTTTAACCTATAGACAACTTCAGCCCTAGTTAACCCATTCTTACTCAATTTTGCCTCAGGACAACATCAAATGTAGCACATATGCTAAAGTTCAGCTAATGCTATGCATTTCGAGCGGGTACAGTGTGTTTACTTCATTGTTTCATCAGTATATTGGCAACAGTGATTTTTTTGGTGGCAATTAAAATCTCCATCTTGGAATCTTCTATCACCATCAACCACTGCTTCTTGTATCGATTGTGATGTTTGCCAAACATAAAAATTTTCATATCCGGTTTAAAATTTAACCCTTTCTTCCCAAAATTTCTTCAGAACAATGCCAACTTTAACAATTTTTTTAAAAGGTTAGCGGGAAATCACGTGAGTTCAGGACGGGAATGGCGTTTTTCTGCTCTGTTTCTGCCCTTGTATTGGCAACACTGATTTATTTGGCGCCAACCCGAACTCTCTATCACTAAACTCACGGGATTTCCCGCTAACGTAAAAAAAGCTAAAGCTTGCCTTTCTCTAAGACAGCATTAGGCCATAAAGGGTTAAGTGAAGATTGATAGTGTTTTCGTGATTTTATCGTGCGAAAGTGCCATTTCTTTTTTATCCTCCTTTTATCCAATTGCGCTTCGAATGAAATCAGTAGGAATCTTTATTTCCAAATTCGACCCGACTCGGGTTGCTTATTTGGCTACTAAGTCCGCTTTCTCGTTGCGGATAATCCCGGAGTGACCCACAGACGGCCTCTTCCTATGTGGCTAAGCTGAGAGGTTTTGCTTTTGTTTTCAAATAGTTACCCCTTTACCTGATGTTGTGGCCATGGCTCTGAGGCTGTCACTGATTACAATTATTTTCTCACTTTTGAGGGCCGTGGAGTATTCCAGCGGAATGTGACCACCTCTGCAAAGTTAACTTAGAAAAATAAAAAATTCTGGTATTTCATAATGGAGTAGACCTCGTGCAGATGAATGTTGGGCATATCAAAACAATAGCGTCACTGCTGTTAATGAATACATGAATAATATATGACTTGTCCATGTTTGCACAGAAATCCAGCCCGAGTGGATTTGTATTTTTAATCTTCCTGCGATATCGGTTTATAATCGGATTATAAATTTGTACGATTAAGGTCATTTAATTTAAGCGTTTTGTACACAGAACTTTAAGTTCTGGCGTAATTTGTCCAGTTGGGTAAGTCGAACTTGCCGAGATCGGATCAATGATATTTCAAAAAATTCACTAATTTCGTGGTCCGCTTGACCAATTAATTTATTACAATTAATTAAGGTTTTTAGTTGAAATAAAAAACCATAATTAATTGTGATATTTCAAAAATTAATTAAGGTTTTTTGTTGAGATAAAAAAAGTCAGTGTCACGAGCGGGATTCGAACCCGCGACCTTTGGCTTGATACGCCGCTACTCTACCACTGGGGGGGATCGAATCCCGCTCGTGACACTGACTTTTTTATCTCAACAAAAAACCTTAATTAATTGTATGATATTAATTGGTCAAGCGGACCACGAAAACTAGTGAATTTGATATTTCAAAATATGAATTAATTAAGCAAAACCACATACTGCAATTTTTTTAAATTAACAGGTTAAAATAGAAAAACACTCGTCATCAATTATGCATTTATTATGTAATGACATAACATTTACACGACGCATAAATAACATAACATCACATTTATTGTATTATCTATTCTATACAAAAATTGTGCTTATAAAAATGGGAGAATTTAGAAGTATTCTCATTGCGGTTGATGATTGGGTTTATTAGAAAAGTATCCGCCTTGGTTTTTTCCTTATATATAAATATACTGCTAATGGTATACCTAAGACATTTGTATAATTGAAACTTTCATTTTAATTAGAAAATATCTGTTTAATATTGATTTAACAAGTACTTTTGAAGAGATCTTCATTAGGGTCCACCTTTCAGCAAATTACATTTTTAACCAACTTATCAACTATAAACGTAAAGTTTAAATAACACTTAACAGCGACATTTTCCAATTTTGGAATGTAAAATATATATTTACTACGGAAACTGCGAAACAACCAGCTACCGTGAAAGTATTAAGGATGTAGGAAAAGCACTACAGGGTATGGACTTACTAGTGTGCACCTTGATTTGCTCATAAACTACTCTCCCTAGAAAATTAAATTAAGCAGGTTTTATTTTGGAATAAGCTCTACTTTCGAACAGTGAGGTTTAAGAGAGATCGAGAGGAGGATCGTTGACAACTTTACGATGACTTTTGGTATGAAATCGAATTTTCTGGATATTAAAAAGCTTGTAAGATCCCCGACGTTCAACTCGGTGTGTCCAAAGAGATCGCAGTAATGTCGTATATGTAGAGAAACGAACCCTGTCTGTCCAAAATATCTGAAGTTAGGTGGGGTTTTAAAGTTGAAACCGAGTTGTCCTTGTCTTTCGTTAAGTTGTGGTCTTGACACTCAGTTTGCTGTCTGGGCATAGTCCTTCTGACTGGAAGTCAGTAGCTCCTGATTGTTGATGTACTGATCAATCTTCCCGCCTGTTCGATCCCCGAATCAACTCCTTGGGAACCCTTGCCTGGCGATTTCGAGACTTTTCCTAAGACTAAGCATATGACAAAGTGGAGTAGAGTGGAATGCGGTAGTTCCATGTTTTGACGTATAGTATGACTGTTTTTCAATGTAGAGAACCGTCAACATTTTTCCTCATTCAGTCTTGTCCTCCTGTTCGATAAGTTTAAGGTGTTTTTTACTCAATGAATTTTGAAATGAAAATGTAGTTTTCAATAGAATTTTACTAAATTTTTCTTGCATTATTTAAATGTAGAGCTTATGCTAAAAAAATACTGTATATACATACATATATTTTTAGGTGGAGACGTTTTTGAGAAAACCAAAGACTAGTAACTTGACACCCTGTATATATCACATTTATTTATACTACTGCTGTAATGCCTACATATAGTAAATAATATCTTTGGCTATGTTTCTATCACCACTGCGATTATTTTTACTACAATTATTGGACCATCAATCCTCTACATAGCATTTTCTGCTACCATTTAGTGAAACTACAAAGGTTTGAACTGGTACATGTTTTTTTATTCCTATCCTTTCTAATATAATTACATTTAAACATTTAACATCAAATGTTTTTTTTTCTATTTTATATTGGATGAGAAACCACCGGACATAAAATTTGCGCAAAAAGGTATCATAGTAGCAGTTCAGAAAGTTGTCTACTTAGAAAAGCCGCCTGTATTTATAAAGCCATAGTGTTGAAAACGTACTCAAAATATATAGAACCGTTTGAAACGAGCCTCTGTTTTAGAATCTAATTGTAAGCTCGTAGAAAATAAATAAAATAAAAACGGCCCAATCAACATTTTTCTTAGAAGCCTTTCGGCTTTAGATTACAAACTATTGAACAATTTAATAATCTAAATGTACGGCGTCGTCTTCGACGTTCAACATATGCAGTCCGATGTCTTCCATCCCTTTGTGGACGTGCTCGGAGAGTGGAGCCCCGGCAGGCACGGATTCGTTCGCATAGCCGAGGAGAAAATGACACGTTCCAGGTATATTGGATGGAAACCCTTTGGGGAGACACTGCCTAGGGCGTTCCTCAAACTGGAACCCTTTTGAAGCTTGCAACAACCTGTAAATGATTCAACGGACAAAATCAAATATACAATTTTCTGAGAGATTCTCTTAGTAGAGGCATTTTTAATCAAAAATACGTTTTAAAATTTATTTCAACTCACTATATTTGAACAATTCCGAGAGACTTACTTGTAAGTTGTAGGGCTAACGTTGATGAACAAAGGTTCGGATCCGGACTCAAATTTATTGGCGATGGTGACGTTGTGCCCGAACAGGCAGTATCTTGGCATTTTTACACCGACGACTCCGGCCAAAACGCTTCCACTGTGGATCCCGATTCTCATCTATAATCAAACAACCATAATCAAATATTTTTAAAATGGTCTTAATTTTTCTTTTTATTACTGGGCCTATCGACAAGAAGATCATTTCAGCCACAAACGTACTTTTTACCTAGACACACTCACTCATTCTGAACTACAATATTTCTTACAACTGTTAACTTTATACATATAAATAACAACTTATCCACTAAATAATCTTATTTAGTGTCGATTGGATAAGTAATATTCCGCCCTCGACCTTCTTCTGCTATACATTTACGCTAAGAAATACATTTTCACGAAACCGTTAGTAATAACGAATAAATAATAAATGACAGCAATAAAATTAACTGTAATAAATAATCTATATGTTTAAATTAACCCCTGTTTTCTCCAAAAATCGGAACAGGGCAGCCAAACACTCACTGCCGTACTCACAATTTCACATCGGATGGCATTCGTACTCACTCACTATATGGAAACAACGAATGACATCCTTCAAGATTATAAAATATTTAATTAGGGACCGAAATCGAGTTACTTTATTTTAAAAGAAATAGACAGATAAGTAGATAGATGGATAGAGGGAGAGATAGATAGGGAGGGAGGGAGAGAGAGAGAGAGAGAGAGAGAGAGAGAGAGAGAGAGACAGACAGACAGACAGAGAGTGAGAGGGAGATAGTCGAAGATGGAAAGATTGAGCGAGAGGGAGAGAGAGAGCGAGAGAGGCACAGAAAGTGGGTGAGGTACAAGGCTAAAAATAAGGAGAGGGAGACAGAAGGTAAAAGTAAGATAAAGAAAAAAGAGAAGGAGAGAAAATGGTGGAGAGTGTGAAACAAAGAGAGAAAGAGTAGAGCCAGAGACAGAAAAAGGGAGCTAGTGAGAGAGAAAAAGAGAGAATATAAAAGTAAGACACAAAATGAAAGAAAGAAAGAAAGAAAGGGAGAGAGAGAGAGGGAGAGGGAGATAGACGTAGATGGAAAGATTGAGCGAGAAGGGGAGAGAGAGTGAGAGAGAGACAGAGAGAGTGAGTGAGAGAGAGACACAGAAAGTGGATGAGATACAAGGCTAGAAATAAGGAGAGGGAGAGAGAAGGTAAAAGTAAGATAAACAAAAAAGGGAAGGAGAGAAAATTGAGGAGAGTGTGAAACAAAAGGAGAAAAAGTAGATCCAGAGACAGAAAAAGGGAGCGAGTGAGAGAGAAAAAGAGCGAATATAAAAGCAAGACACAAAATGAACGAGAGAGAGAGAGAGAGAGAGAGGAGTGATGGAGGGATGAAGGGAATGAGGGAGGGAGGGGAGAGAGAGGGAGAGTGAGAGTGAGAGTGAGAGAGAGAGAGAGAGAGAGAGAGAGAGAGAGAGAGAGAGAGAGAGTGAGTGAGCGAGGGCGAGGCCAACTTGTACAAATAGCCGTTCCATAAATGTGCCAACTTCCATCGATATTTTTATATATCGCAAGAAAAAAATGGTAACCAATGGGTAAAAATGATTATTAGATATGTATTGTCTAATTTTTCATATATTTCGTTATTAATTTTTTTTTACCACAACAATCGACATTTAATTGATAAAAACTTAAAATGGGGCTTTGTGAAACCCACTATCGGTCAAATTTTTCAATAAGAAATATCTCTTAGGAGACAACAAATTTTTGTATCGAAAAACAATGTCATAAACTGCATATGGATACATATAGTTTAATTATAGAAAAATTATTATAAATTAGCATTACATCCAATTGTTCGCTTTTCGAGAGCGCATGTATGTTTTTCAACTGAGGTATCTTATATTATAAATTATATAATTTTATGTAATATTTCTTTCAGGGGCAAATCCTGAGATAAGGTCGATTTTGTGTAATGAAAGTAGGATTTACCATGATAGGTTTTCCGTCATGCGTTGAGTGGTTTTTGCATTTATCCATCATCTGCAGAGCCATCCAGGCGATCTGCTGAGCGTGGTAATCGCTCGACCGGTGCAATCCAGCGGCCACACAGTATGCATCTCCTATAGTCTCGACCTGTAACGAAATCAACAATTACCGCCAGCTCTTGAAAGAAGTAGACGCTCGTTTACCTTGTAAACGTCCAATTTACCGCAAAAAATGTCAAACTGATTGTAGAGACACTGGAGCATATTGATCACCATGAAAGGTGTTGCGGTGGAGCAGATTGAAGTAAAACCGACAATGTCGCTGAAGAGCATCGTGACGTTATCGTGAGTTTTCGCCTCGATACTCTCCCCTACAGGCGAAAAACAATCCGATTTTAATAAATAAATTGACAATAAATAATTTATCCCTTATGGTAGTACATTTATAAACGGATAATTCTTGAACAAAAAAAACAACATGTTCTCACTAATACATTGTGTCAGTTATTAATTAACTATTAATTACTGTTTGAAAGTAGAGCTTATCCTGAAACAACCTGTTTAATTTTTGTTTAGAGTAGTTTTTGAAAATAATTATGAAAAAATTCCTAAAAGTATACCTAGCCAGAGGCGTTTGGCGATATCTGGTGGGAAAATGAGGTGTAGGAGGCTAACGTTTTTCTCCCTTTCCTGTTTTACAGCGCAGCTCGCCTCTTCTATGGAATTTTTCAGCTTGTCCATTCTTCTTCTGAGCCCGTCCTTTGAATCAGAGAGATATGAAACGGACGTTTGTTCAGTTAGAAATATCGTTTGATGTGTACCTGTGCCCTGGCCTGCTCTCCGACGAGTATGACGTCCCTGGTAGCATCGTGGAGAGGGATGTCGCTTATGAACAGCCCCCTTGCGTTCAAACTGTCCAGGCCGTCGAGGCAAGGTGAACCGATGTAAAGCAGGCTCTCCGACTCGTAACACGGCACCATTTGTCCCTTCAGCTCCAGTCCCTGTGAACAATCTCACTTAATTTCAAAGGATATGGACACAAAAATTCCTTCCTGAAGGAAAATCGATCATCAAACAATGGTAAAATTGTTGTTCACTAAAAAAATAACTACTTTAAATCTCCTTAGCCGTTTACAGGGTAGAAGAAAGTGGGGTAACATGAATTCGTTTTCAGTTTGAATGCGCAATTTTTTTCGTGACCATGTTCTAGTTATCGATTTCACATTGCCGTGTAGTGCAGGCTTGGTTAGGAATCATCAGGGATAGGGACACGTTAGGTTATGTAGGGCTAGGGTAGGGGAAGGTTAAGCAGGGTTCGGATTATGGTATAGCGAGAGACGGGTAAAGTTAGATGGAGTTAGGAACAGTTAATTTGGCTGCTGGCCCTAGTGGACAATTCCGACCCGTGGATCAGGGGGCTTTATGACTCCAACCAGGTCGCGGCTCGCCTGAATAAGGCAGCGGCCCGCCTTGGTCTGGGGGAGTGGCCCACCACCTGCGGGGAATTGCGTGCGCTGGCCAAAAGACTATACCGGGGGGAGTTAGACGGATGGCAGGCTCTGGGGGCGACCGGTCACGGAGTGAAGAGCTTTTCCGGTGTCACGGTGGGCAACCGATGGCTGTCCGACGGATCTTTGATCCGTCAGGACTCCCGGTTTATCAATGCCCTCCGCATGAGGACCAATTCAATGGGCTCCAGAGAGGCGTTGAGAAGGGCGGACTCGAATACGCCGGCCGAATGCAGGAAGTGCGGGGCCGGCAATGAGACGCTCTCTCACGTCCTCTCGACATGCCCGGAGAATCACTCCAAGATAGTGAGGAGGCACGACGAGTGCCTCCAGGTCCTTGTCGCCGGTCTCCGTGATTCGGGCTACCAGGTCTCAGTCGAAGCTCCCCACCGAGCCCCGGATGGATCGAGTCTCCGGCCGGACGTCGCTGCCACCGACGAGGATGGGAGTTGTCCTGGACCTCGCGGTGGCGTATGAGACCGCGGGCGCGTTGGACGCGGTAGCGGACGTCAAGGCGGAAAAATACGGGGTGCTGAGGGAGGCCCTCACGGAGCTGCACCAGAAACGCAATTTTCTGGCGGCTGGTGTGGTAGTGGGGGCAAGGGGATGCATCTCTGGGCGGACCAAAGCGACGCTCAGGGACCTCGGCATTAAGGAGTTGCCGAGGATGCTCCTCACCCTCGCCTTAACAGCCTTGAGGTCCCCACTCTCCATAGCCTGCGGCCATATGGATCGGGAGCGAAGCTTCTCAGCGACCCGACCAACGACACCGGCTGTTGAGCAAGCCACCAATAGATGCGACTGACCTGGCAAGCTTTACGGAACTCACGACTGGAGTTAGCTTGTTTCCGTAGGTTTAAGGTAAAATTGGAGACAATTAGGCTAAATTAAGTTAGGGATATGTAAAGCTGTGTTGAGTTAACGTTAGAAAAAGGTTAGACTAGAGAGGATTAGGATTAGGGTTAAAACTGAAAACAGATAAACCTTAATGCAAAATGTTCGCGTTTGGCGGAGCCTAGGTTCGTAAGGTTTAAGATTAATATTGGGGATGTGTTGAGTTAATGGGTTATGCTAGATAGGATTAGGATTAGACTTAGGTTTGAAAACAGATAAACCCTAATCCAAAGCATTCGGGTTAAGCAGAACCAAGGTTTGCTAGGTTTAAGGTTAATACTGGGTATGTGTTAGGCCGTATTGGCTTAATGGGCCAGGATAGTTAGGATTAGTATTAATGGTAGAAACAGATTAAACCTAATCTTAAGGGTTGGGCACGGGCTAGGTTGGGCAGTTTTAAGGTTAATATTGGACGGACATATTAGGCTGTATTGGTTTAACGTTTAACGTAGATAAGGTTAAGGTTTACGTTAAAGCTAGAGACAAGGTACACTTAGGGCCGGCTCTTGAACAGATCCTTAACTTGGCGCCTCTGTTCACGTTTCTTTGTCGTTTCAGACCGGAATTTTCAGGACGGTGTCCTCAATGAAGAAAGTGTGACACCAAAACGCGTTTGAGTGAATCGTCACCTAGCGAGAATAGTAATATGACCTGTGTTTGACCAGGTTAAAACCAAAGGGGATGTAAAATGCAGTACTCATATGACTCTCTAATGAAATCGATAAACAAGTACAGGTTCATTTTTTGTAAGTTCATTAGATGATTTTAGCCTTAACCAAATAACCACCCTATTTGCAAGAATCAGTGTGCTCGCGGGGTTACTGAAGCACGGCACGCAGGGAAAAATATTGCCAACTATTTTACATATATGTACATTTTTGTTAGGTCAAAATAATATTGTTTTTAAAAAAATACAAACTGAAAGTAAGAATTAAGCTAAATTTACTACAGCATTCACAAAAACTTAAAGAAAAAAAGTAGAAAATTGATTTACCTGAGTCAATGATAAGCTGAGTTCTCCTGGTAGCCTGATCCCTAAGACAAAGGGTGAATTCGACCGGCTGATTATCCCGGTGTAGGACACCTCGAGGTCTATCGGCCGCAGAAATTCAAAATAGGATTGGACGTTGGTTCCTTTATGATGAATTTATTGAAAAAAAATAATGTCAATATGGTTAAAAAAAAATCAAACATAAGTAAATTATTATGAACATTTTATTTTAAGTGTTTTATTTTCTTCTATATTTTATCGTTTTTTTTCTTTCTTCTTATACTTTATTTATTTTTTATTTTATTGAAATCTTTTGATTTCAAATTCTTAAGGTGTAGTGTTCAGAAAAGCTTTTCAATAGCCTAAAGAAGAGGGCGTCGGTGGCCGGCCGCAACGGTTTAGACATTGACACGGCGCTCATGACTGTGAAGTAAAGGTCCCGGGTTCGAATCCAGCCGCCCTGCATTCGAACCCGACATACTTACAAATGTTTTTGTTTTTTTAAATAACGGCTTTATACGACCTCTGCTGTTGCGAACCCTCGTAAAAAATAATAATAGATCAAATTGATTTTAGGGAAAATGCTACTGAAAAATGTCGACTTTTTGGCCAAGTTTGAACAACTAACTGACCTTGAAAACGAATGCAATTTTAGAATTTGATGCTTAAACAAAAAGTGCAAACTGTTTTGAGATGTAAACTGGTATCAAAACTAAAATCTATTTATTAGAAGTCGAGGTAAAAAAATAAATAAATAAATAAATAGGAAAAACAGTTGTTCGTTCCATAAACGGACTCAACCCACATACACTACTAAAACTTTCACCAGCATAAGTGGTTTTTTCTACATAAAGAACTTATGTTTTTTGTTGAAACAATTCAACATTTTTCTCTCTTTAGGGTGTTAATTTTAATTATTCATTTTTTACGTTAAAAGTGTATATTCTGTAGGCTTTTCACTTTGATATGAAAAGGTGAGCATAAATATTTCAGTTACAAAATGAATAATAAAACGGCGTCAGACGAGTTGTTTAGTGTTTAAATTGGAACATTTTTCAGTTTCTTTTTCTGTATCAAATAATGTAAAAATTTGTAATATTACGGGAATAAATTATTGTCGGAATGTCGTGTCTCGCGCTAAACGGAATTCAACGTTGCCAAATAGAAAAATTAGAACTTTTTTTAGACAGAGACGTAAAATTTGTTTAAAAAGATTAATACATAAAAATATTCGGTTAAATTTTTATACAGTTTTCATTAGCTTGGTGTTAAAAGGAGTTTAATTACCCATTTCGTCCAGCTTGTGCCCGAAGAGTCTCATGAATCCGGTCCCCAGTTGTACGATGTTGAGTTCTTGGTCGACGATGAAATGCCACGGAAAGGCTTTGCAGAACGTGACCACACCGATCGGCAAATCCGACGGCAACGTGGACAACGAGGAACATTTGTGTCTTTCGGTGACGATGTCTTCGGAATCCTTGTCCGGCTGCTCGGAGGGCTTCGACTTGTATTTAACTGTATATCTGAAAATATTAAGGGCTTTATTAGCGTGTCGGTTACAAAGAAAACCCAGTAACTTTTCGTGCAATCCATTATATTTCGTGGTTCGATTGACCAAATAACTTCTTTCAATTAATTAATCTTTGTGTAAGGTATTGGTTGAAATGAAAAATCTAGTGTCACGAGTCAACCAATAACTTACATGTGAAAAATGGCAAAAAGGAGGGAAAATTCGAAAGGTTGTAGGTTGACATGAGGAGTTGGTGTCCGAGTGGATCGAAGTCACAATAGCTCAAGTGGTAGAGCAGCGGCGTATTTAGCCGAAAGTCGTGCGTTCGAATCCCGCTCGTGACACTAGCTTTTTCATTTCAACCAATACCTTACATAAAGATTAATTAATTTTCGTGTTATGTTTTTTTGATGATACTAGGTTAAGAAAGTACTAGGGATGTATCTAAGATTGCCTATGAGCCCATGGATCTGAAAAAAATTAAGTACGCTTTTAAAATATTATTTTATGAAACCTTATGCATGTATTTCAAGGTTAATATCATTTAATTACTGAAATGAGATTAGACATATAGAAAGATACAAAAACCAAGATGTTTCAAGTAAATTAGGCTAAAAAGTTGTTTTTAAAAAATTCAGAATCTTTTTAACCCCTTTTTGGAATACTTAAATGTAAATTTTTATAAGAATCAAAAATTAGACAATTTGGACTCGATCAGCCGGGGGCAATTATATTTTCTCGGCGAAGTCCTGTGTTCCGTTTAAAAAATACGTAACTTGATTTGATCTAAATTCGACGTTTTTACAAAAGTTAGAAAGGTGGATTTTTCTTCTTTTTAGACTATGCCAACAATGTCGGTCACTACATCAAAATTATGTTTGGAATAGTATGATATTGAAATAATATTTTTTTTCCGGGCGTCATTGTAAATCAAAAGTATTTTTTTATTCAACAAGAAACAAAGTTGGTGTATGCTTTTTGACACCTCAAAAAGCCGTGATTACAAATTATTGAAAAAATAAACAAATAATTATTTCTCATCATTTCATAAGCCTTGTTTTTTTTTCGAAAATACCAGAAGTTTGAAACTACCCTCGTAATCTACAAAAAAATTTAGAGGAGTTTAGAAACCTATAAACTTCACATAATGGAACAAATTCGGCCTCTGTTAATAATTTAAAACCGGAGGTATAAAATAAAATTACGATGAGTTTTTGTTTGAACAATGTCGGTCACTACATCAAAATTATGTTTGGAATAGTATGATATTGAAATAATATTTTTTTTCCGGGCGTCATTGTAAATCAAAAGTATTTTTTTATTCAACAAGAAACAAAGTTGGTGTATGCTTTTTGAGACCTCAAAAAGCCGTGATTACAAATTATTGAAAAAATAAACAAATAATTATTTCTCATCATTTCATAAGCCTTGTTTTTTTTCGAAAATACCAAAAGTTTGAAACTACCCTCGTAATCTACAAAAAAATTTAGAGGAGTTTAGAAACCTATAAACTTCACATAATGGAACAAATTCGGCCTCTGTTCATGTTAAAACCGGAAGTATAAAATAAAATTACGATGAGTTTTTGTTGAGTTCATCCTTATTTTCTTACTTATTAAGACATACCATCTCATCATTTTAGAAATAGCTTGTAAGAAAAAGGAATCTGCTTTTCAAAGCTTATCCAGAGGAATATATGGAACACTGTAAAAAACTGTAGAGTAGTTTATATTGAACCAATGAACCACTCAATACGTACTCTGTTAATATGCAAGTTTATAAGGCCATTAAAAATTAATAAACTAATAAATGAAATAACAATTGTTATAGTAGGCAATTTCAATTTCTAACTAGACTAGATTAAACTACAGGTACATAATGCTTAATTCGCCTGCGTTTCCATTTAGCTGACGTGGGGGCCCCGATGGACCTGCAAATCGGATTTGTGAAGCCCCCCAGCCTAAAAATTATTTGACCGCGTGACGTATATCCTCTTTTATCCATTCCATGTGAGTATTTTCATGCAACTCAGACAGACTTAAATTTCGGGCAGAGGCGATGGCGAGTCGCAAAAATTTATTTTGAATTACTTTTTACTTATTAATGTTTGTTCGGCTACTAAAATTCCTTGCTGGGTGTGTATAACAACATTGGCTTATGTACGGTCTTAAATATTAATAATTTGTTGGCGTGCCCCGTTTTTAAATATTTTAGGTTTGTGAATTTCTAGCCATTCGTAAATTAGCCTAAGAAAAACAAACAATTGAAAATGTGGGTTGATTTTTTTTAAGGGTCTTTAGCATGAGGTTGGATATTTGGTCTATTCCAGGTGACTTGTTATTTCTTCGTGAATGAATGATTTCGCGGATTTTCTTAGACGGAGATTCAGTTTTCGACTCATCTTTAAAAAAAATGGATTTGCGCTATTCTCAACAAATTTATTGAGTTGTTTGGTAACAAGGGTTGCAGAAAATGGGGGCCATGGTTTATTTTAAGAAGGAGGGCTGACTCAAAATATACTCCCGTTGCATTCACCTTTTCCTCATCCGAGTTGCTGGATTTGTTTTTATGGGTAATGTTTGCTTAGAGGCACTCGTGTTTTAGGTTTAAAACGCTTAACTAATTTCAACAGGGAATTATTTTGGGAGTTTATTTTTGACAGATAATTGGTCTAGCGGTCATCGATCGATATTTCTATGAATTGTGGATTGTAACAAATTGGAAGGTTACTGTGTGGTGTTCAGTTTGATTCGCCATTGTTTGAACCATAGTTCAATGGAATATAGGTGTGTCTAGTGGGGCCGGAGAGCCATGATATAATTATGTGTCATCTTAAGTGAGAAAAACTAATCAAACCTTTTTATTTTATATCTATGTTCGATCTGATGATGACCATAAAACAGGTCAAAGCTTGGCAGTACATGACCTTGTTTTTTCAACCAGACCGTACCGAAATTCAGATTATTCCGATTTCAAAGTCACGACAAGCTTTGTGATAAACAAAAATTAAGGCATTATGAGAAATAATAAATTATTTTTTGATTTTTTTTTCAATAAATAGTGTTTTTAATGGCCTGGCCAGGGGCGAGGGTGGAAATCGAAACCACGACCACGGGGTTGATCACGCTGACAACTCGGCTACCGCGATCGCAAATTATTTATTTGACTAAGGCCGGCGCCGCACTGACGACGGACAAGCGTGGAACGGAAGAGGTAGGCAGTCGGACATGCAAACTGCAAGTGAAGCTGATCTAGAATGGACATGGACCAATTTATTGTGAAAGCTCTACAGTCATCCTATAGTATTGAAAAAACTTGACAGGATAGCGTCGAAGTTCCCCATACAGACAGTGCAATTGACCAAGTGCTACCGTTTTCATGTTCCATGAATGAATCCAATGTTCTCTCTTTTTCTTCTGCTTCTCCATTGCCTTGTAAATACACAAAATGAAAAGTTGTTTCATTGTACTGTACTCGATCAACTGAGTCACGTTATATATTGCATATCCAAACAGTCGTTCAAGTCATTACGTTCATTTCCGCTGTATATGTGGCTTGTTCGGGTTGAGCGGATTTTTCGTCGCGAAATTTTCGTCACAAAAACTTCCGTCACATTCCGCCTAGTGTGGCACCGGCCTGATAGTCTCACACTATGAGTACCAGCCAGACATAATTTTGATGTTGTAAACGGCATTGTTGAATTATTCTAAATGAACTAAAATCCACATTTCCAAATTTGGTACAAACGTATAATTTCGATAAAATCCGCATGAGTTACGAATTTTTTAAATGGAACACCGGAGATGGAAAATTAAAACATATATTTACATATTTTATTTAGTTTAGTATTAAAATTCTTATCATGGGATTTGAAGGGTGTATAAATTGAATGCGAATTGTTGTTTTAAATACACTTTTTTGCCGTACTATACTGATAATAGGGGTATTCACGATGTTTGTGAGATGTTAACTCGTGTTAACTCGAATAGAGAAATGATGAGATGTAAGATGATGATCGTCCCCTTCTTTTCTTAGCATGTTAAACGTTAATTTTTCCGCAATGCAGCGAGTGGCGATTGGTAGAACCAAAAATAAAGCTTTAACAGTCCGTGAAGGCTTCTTGTTGTTTGTTTAGGTTTTCTCTTGTGTTAAATTGTAAGATTTTAAGCCATTTAAATCTCATATTCATAGAAATAAATAAAAAACAAAAATAAATAAAAATAAACAAAAATTTACAAAAAAAAACGCTAGTAAACTATGCGAAAATAGTGTTACGAATAATTATTCAGGTTCTTTTAACCATTAATTTAAAACCCTTAAAAACCACTTTTTATAAAAAATAAACAAGTAGTTACAAAAACGAAAAAATTACTACATAGTAAAGTAGACAAAAAAGTTTCTCAAAAATACTATTCGGGTTTGCTTTAAGCACTATTTAAAGCGATTAAAATCACATTTTCCTAAACACAAAAAATTATATGTTTTGGCATAATTACATGATTTTAAGACAAAAAAGTTATATAAAACAAATAGAAGCTACCAGTAAAGCATGCATTTTTGTTAAAACTATTCTAGGTACTTTTAAGAAATTTTAAAGTCATTAAAATCATATTTTCAAATAAATCAAAAATTAGAATTTTTTTTAAATTACAGGAGATTAAATAAGCGAAAGTTACAGAAAAGGAAAAGAAGCTGCCAGTAAGCTAGAAAAAATGTTTTTCAAAAGCTATTCTTCTATGCTTTAAGTACACATAAAATAAATTGTAAGATGCCAGAAGTTAATAAAAAAGGAAAATTAATCAAGTCTTTCATTTAAAATGCTATATATGCACTCGAAAAATACTAACAAATGACACGCTTCAATTTGTGCCGACATACCTAATTTGTATCCTAACGCCTAACAGTCTACAACTTTATAGGATAGGGGATATATTATGAGAGTATAAGCACAGATCAGAAATTAACAAAATTAATTAATTAATGTATCACAATTTATTATAAATTTAACGTAAA